AGTCTATAATACTGACTGATCTATCACACAAAGAACTGAGTATCACTCATAAGTGGACCTTGAACAATTATCATAATACTGTAAGAAAAGATTGGCAGTAGCAGGAAAGTGCAGTGGGGGGAGGAGGCGTGGGACTGGCCGTACTGGGAATCATGGTGGAAGGGGGCACACCTCATCAACCAAGGTCCCTGTGTAATGAATATTTGTATACCTAACCCTGAATTGTACCCCACATCTTTAAAATAAAAAAATTAAAAGAAAAAAAGTAGTAAATGTGTGTCCTTGTTGAAAATTTGTGTTTAAAGATTCCCAGGTTCATCAATAACTAGTTAACCTATCATTATTATAGTTTGAGTCTTACAATAGCCTGTCATGGGAGACTAACCATTATTATTATTATCTCTGTTTCTAGTATCAAAAAATAAAGTCTGGTTTCCAATCAACTGATAAATATTTGTGCAGTTACATTTGTAAGCTGCTGGCTGTTTTGCTGTGCCTCTCTCTTTACACCCATATAAAAGCTATGGCTACACATAGTTTTTTAGTTATATTAAGTCTCCATGTCTGTAGTCCTGCTTTCATCCTATCTCTCCCTGTTTTATAACCCCGTTTTAGAATAGGAATTGTGCAGAAGAACAAGGCTTCGCAAAATAATTTTTAAAAAGGCTGCAGTACTAACCCATCATAGCCTTAATTTGTGAGCACAACAGAGTATAGAATTTGGTTTTATTTCTGCCTGAATCTCTTGAAAATGACTACCCTGTAGGCCTGTGTCAGATTACCTTTTCACCTTGGTGCTCAGAAGTACATAAGAAAAAACAGAGAGCATAAGACTCAAGAAAAAGAAAAAACGTGCCTGGCACGATGGCTCAGGCCTGTAATCCCCAATACCTTGGGAGGCTAAGGAAGGAGGATGACTTGAGCCCAGCCCATGCAACAGAGCGAGACCTTGTCTCTATAGAAATGAAAAATCAGTCAGGTGTGAGGGTGCATGCCTGCAAGCCAAGCTACTCAGGAGGCTGAGGCAGGAGGATAGCTGAGCCCAGGAGGCTGAGGCAGCTTGGATGACAGAGCAAGACCTTGACTCAAAAAAAGGAAGAAAGAAAAGGTGTGATTTCTGGCAATGTAGGTGTAAGGAATGTGTCATCCAGATTTTAGAGATGAGGAAGCTAAGACAGACACAGTGCATTTCCAAGTTCGCCCCTGAGTCGGGATTGAAGTTGAGTCTCAGAGCTTGGGACCTTCTGCAGCCCCTCGCTGCCTGAGCTCTGGGCGAGTCCTGATGGCATAAGCTCCTCCAGGAGCTGCTTCTTTACACTTAGTTGTGACTTTCTGAGCTGGAGAAACCTGAGACTTTGACACACCAAAGTTACATTCATTTCTTTTTACTCAAGATGGTTTCTTCCCTGTTTTTAAGACAATGATGGTCATTTTCTCCACAGCAAGCTCTACAATATTTTTATCATAATTGCTCTTTTTCTGCCTTGAATTTTATGTCTTTTTTTTTTTTTTTGGTTGATCATGCTTGTCACTTTCCTGTTTAAAAAAAAAAAGTTGAGTTATGCCTAATCTTCTATTTTCATCAAGCTAGAATTTCTCAGCTGAGCCATCAAGGCCCTATACCAACTCTGAAGTCATGAACTTTGGTCCATGCTCCCCTCAGATTTTCCTCTTGAATCGAGGTGATTTGTCCTGCCAGCACTGCAGAACTATGTGCAAGTGCCCGCCACCGCAGCTGCCTGCACTTCCTATCTCTGCTTTTGTCCAACACACTAGTATTCACCTGGACCATTGTCTCTGCTCTCTTCTACTGTTAAGCCTGATTTAGAAAGTTAAGATTCAAATCATGCATGTTGAAGCCTATGCTTATTAACCCCAACACCCAATCAGATTCTTTTTTTCCTTAGAGACCTGCCTGTACTTTTAAAATAACCTTTTTGGGGAGAGATAAATGTGAATCTACATGTTATTGGAAGAAACAATACAGAGAGATTCTGTTTATCTTTGTCACAGTTTGCCCAAATAGTAAAATCTTGCAAATCTATAGTACAGCATCACGGGGAGGACCCAATCAGATTCTTAACCTAGAGTTCATGATCTGTGTACGTGGGTCCCACTGAAGGGAAGCAGGAGAGTGTAATGGTTCAAGATTCTGGGGCCAGATTTCTGGGTTCAAATCCTACTTTTGCCACTCAGGCCTGTGTGACTTCAGGAGGGTGACTTTAACTTTCTGTGCCTCAGCTCCTTTATCTGCAAACAGATTAAAAACAGTCCCTGCTACCTAGGGCACTCATGCAAATTGAAAGCATGAGCAATCAGCCGGGCATGCCTGTAATTCCGGCTACTTGGAAGGCTGAGGCGGAAGGATCGCCGGAGCCCAGCAGGTCGAGGCTGCGGTGGCCCGGGAGCGTCCACTGCACTCCAGTCTGGGCGACGGAGTGAGACTCCAACTCAAAAAAAAGAAAGCATGAACAACCAGGTGTGGTTGGTGCCCACCTGTTATCTCAGCTACTCAGGAGGCTGACTGGGAGGATCCCTTGAGACCAGTCTGGGCAACAGTGGACTCTTGTCTCAATTTTTAAAATAGTTAATAGATTTAAAGCTTTTAGAATAATATCTGGCCTGTGAAGAATGATTTAAATAATAACTTTATTTTTTATTAAAAAAAAATTTTTTTTGAGAAAGCAGGATTTATTGAGAGGACAGAAAAGCCCCCACAGTGGGAGGGGACTCAAAGGAGTTGCCCCTTAAATAATAACTTTAATTTTTATGTTTTTATCTTATCTATAGCCAAGTCTTTCTGTTATGATCGGAGTACCACTTGACTGCTCCTTCTTGATACCGATAAATCAACGGTCGCAGGGAACTGGCAGGAAGTTGATTTCTGAATTCGAATCCAGGGAGCAGAGCCAGACTAGAGGTCTTTCTTTCTTTCTTTCTTTCTTTCTTTCTTTCTTTGAGTCGGAGTCCCACTCCATCACCCAGACGGGAGGGCAGTGGCATGCTCCTGGCTACCACAGCCTCAACCCCCTCGACCCTCTGGGCTTTGGCGATCCTTCCGCCTCAACCTTCTAAGTAGCAGGAACTACAGGCGTGTGCTATCATGCCCAGCTAATTTTTGATTTATTGTAGAAACGAGGTCTTGCCAAGTTGCCTGGGTGGGTCTTGAACCCGCAGGCTCAGGCAGTCCCCTCACCTTGGCCTCCCAAAGTGCTGGGATTACAGGCTGAGCCACCAAGCCCGGCCGAGGTCTTTCTTAAAATGGTTCTGCTCCCCCTTCAGACCTCGCAGCCCACTCTTATCGTACAGAGTTGTTGGTACCTGTACATTAGCCATGTGACACACGTGACCAGCAGAGCATTGGATAGGACTTAAGTTACAGCTACATTTTACATTTAGATAGTGACATTTAGAATAAAGGAAGTTTACAAGGCTTAAAACATCATGCATTGCAAGAGTTATGCAGGTCACAAGACTTACAATGACATTGACACGATATTGTTCAAACCTAGGACTACTAAGAAAGGTAGTCAATAGGATTTACATCTTTGGGCTAGTCCTCAGGGAATTCAGGGATCCCCTGAAGCTACTTACTGGAGGTGCATAGACGACAAGGGCACACTTAGGAATGTGCTGAGTATGTGCAGGAGCCTTGGACCCTTGCCATGCCCTTCTCTAGGGCCTGTGGCAATATGGACAGACGTTAACAGGTCTCCCCATCATTTCCTGGCTGTATTGTTACATATGTGGTTCTAGACCTTCCCCCATACTTTCTTTGTTTCCTGTTCTCCCTTGGAATACTAGGTAAAGACTGATCTTTTTATATCTTCTTCCCCTCCTGATTCAGACCTAAACCTGGAACACAGCTACCACCCAGTTTTTCCTAAGTCGAGTGTCCTCGGGTGTCTGACACTCGAATTCCCCGCCCTCCCTGCTCTGTCAGCATGCTCCCAGTCTCCAGCCAGCTCCTGCTCCTGGGGACACGGAGGTAGGCAGAGGTGTGCACAGCCACTTCGCCTCCTGGTGGCCATACTTGGGATTGACATACTCCCCAGTGTGACATACTCCCCGGAGAAAGCGCCCTCCTGGCCGGCCATTCCTAGCCCTCCAGCCCTGCTCTGCCCCCTCACCATTGCCTTTATGGTAATGGCATTTGCGGCACAAAGGACCTTCTTCTTTTTTGGTTTTAAATAGGCAGAGTAAATGGGAAATGGAAGAAGCAGCTACTAGAGCACCGAGCTTACCCTGGTCTGCCTGGTTTCCTAGAAGATCTGTGACTATGGCTCAAGTGCTCTCCTTTAAAATGCAAATCGTGCTTGTACCATACCCATCATGGGAAGCACTGCCAAGGGCATAGAGTCCTGAACAGTTTACTTGTTCCTTTGTCCTCCTCCATCCTTTTCTCCCTATATGCTTTAAGACCCTTCTCTCAGAAGAAAAAATCTGGGCCGTGAAACCAGCTACAGGTTATTATTATGTTATTATTATTTCGAGTTCAGGGTTACGTAAAAGAAGAGAGGACCCATTAGAAATAAGATCGCATTTATTAGCTCCTCTTTTTTGTTTTTCTCTCAAGGAGATCATTACTATTTGAACCATGTAAAATTGCTGATACCTAGCCATTTCTGACCCACAGAAATGGCGGTTTCATCAAGTTCAACATACTGTGTACTTCTTGGTTTGGTTTCATTTTACTGACTCACACCCAGGAGTGCAGCCTCACCTTGGTTCCCCAGCTTCGCAGTGATACCCAGGTGGGAGCAGTAAGCAAGTAAGTCTTCTTGCCAGCAGACCACACGGGTTGATCCCCCTGGGCTGAATGTTATTCACTGAATGTTATTTACTGAATGTTATTCCTGTCTCTTACGCATCAGAAGCCTGTTTGCTTATTATGCTCCAAACCGCTTTTATGCAGCAGAGCCTTTGTCCACGGTGAAACTTGGCAGCAACGCTGCTGGGATCACTTAGTCTTTTTAATGCAGGCGTGTTTTATTTTTCAGTCTTCTCGTATAATGCTGCCAGCAAGGAAACCTGTGAACACCACCATGGCCAGTGCTCCCGGCATGCCTTCTGCACGGATTACACCACCGGCTTTTGCTGCCACTGCCAGTCCAGGTTTTATGGAAATGGGAGGCACTGTTTGCCTGAAGGTGAGGGCCAAGGGCCGAGGCTGCTGTGGGTATTTTCCTGCTGCTTACTTGTTCCCAGCTGCCCCTGTGAGCTCTGCTTCCTGGACCCTACGTCTCTACCACTTAAGTCAGAGTGCCGGCGACTTGCAGGTGCTCCGTAACGTTTGAGAAACGAACCAATTGGGGCTGATTTTCCAATGTGAAGATTATCCAGAAATGTTTCTTTCTTTCTGCCAGCTCGTTCAAGCCAACGTGGAGGGGAGACAGGGAGGATGGGAGAAAAGAGGTCGCAGGCAGGGCTTTCTCACAGATGGGTATTTGGTTGGGGAGTCATTAAAACGACTTGCTGGAGAGTTGTCGGTGGAATGATTTGATATGTGTGCACCCATCCCTAGCCTGGATAGTGCCTGAGGCTGACGGGATCTTCGGTCTTCTAGGGGCGCCTCATCGAGTCAATGGGAAAGTGAGCGGCCACCTTCGTGTGGGCCACACGTCCGTGCACTTCACCGACATGGACCTGCATGCTTACATCGTGGGCAATGATGGCAGGGCCTACACAGCCATCAGCCACATCCCGCAGCCAGCGGCCCAGGCCCTTCTCCCCCTCACACCAATCGGAGGCCTATTTGGCTGGCTCTTTGCTTTAGAAAAACCCGGTGCTGAGAATGGCTTCAGCCTCACAGGTGAGCAGGCCTCGGAGAGGTCTGGCAGTTGCTTAGGCGGTGGTGCTCCCTGGGGCAGTATCTTGGGTCTTTATACAGTGAAAGAAGATTCACTTGTTTAATGTTTGAGAGCCAGAGGTGTGTCGTTTTCTGTCCAGGGGTTGTTGGGAATGGTTTGGCCTCACACCACTGATTTTTGAAGACTGTGATTTTCTCTAACATTCTCTCAGCAGTTCTGAGGAATAAGATGATTCTGTTTGGAGCATTTGTGTCTGCTTAGCCCAAATTGTTGAAGCATATTTGTCAGGCTTTGTTTAACTGAATTACTGTGCAAAGATCTGTCCAACAGGTATGCCCCTGGAGATGATTTTACTTCTTGGGGAGGGGGGTGCCTTTCCTCTTCTTTTGTCCCCACTTGCCTGACCTGTGAGAGTATAGGCCAGTGTGTCTCAGACTTTAACCTGCCCTCAGATCACTTGGAGGTCTTGTCAAAATGCAAATACTGACTCAGTAGACCTGGGATGGGGTCTGTGAGTGCTTTTCTAACAAGCTCCAAGCAGATGCCGGTGCTCCTAGTCTAAGGACTACCCTCTAATAGCAAGGATGTAAAGGATTCTCGCCTTCCTACTTGAAAAAGCAAGTTTCCTAGTGGTTTTTATCTTTATTGTGTGAAGAAGTGCTGGAAGAAAAATTCTTCCCCATCTCCAAGTGCAGAGCTCAATAGCCGTTTATGGGTTCTTGCCTATAATCAAGATTTGAATAAAACCATGGGTCAACAGTAGATAAAACAAACCACACACAGTTAAATTTGAATTTCGAATAAACAATGAATACTTTTCTGGTTTAAACATCCCCATTAGTATTGCATGGGACGTACTTATCGGAAATTCAAGTTTAACTGGGTGTCCTGGTTTTTTGTTATTTTTATGTTTATTTGTTTGCTTTTGCTAAGTCTGGCAACCTTAGAAAAGTCAAGGATGTTCCCAAGAGTTTATTTCTCATAGAATACAAGCTCCTACACAGAGAAACAGTGGGAGGCAGGATGAAACCACGCTCTTTAATCAGAAGTTTGGGGGAACTTATGGAATCAACAGCTGATAGTACTTAGTCTCGGATATCCAGTAGTCTCCTTGGGCCCATCTCCAACAGCAGTAATTGAGAGGAGGCAGTATGTGCTGGTAATGATTTAAGCAAGGCCTCTTTCATCTCTGTGCTATTTTTCCTCTCCAGGTGCTAACTTTATCCATTCCATGGAAGTAACTTTCTACCCAGGGGAGGAGAGGGTTCAGATCACTCAAACTGCCGAGGGACTTGATCCGGAAAATTATTTGAGCATTAAGACCAATATTCAAGGCCAGGTGCCTTACATCCCAGCAAATTTCACAGCTCACATTACTCCCTACAAGGAGCTCTACCATTACTCTGACTCAGGTGTGTGTAACCAGTTTTCACGAATCTAAGATGGGTCTAGAACCAACCTCAGCAGATAGCTATGGGGATTACGTGCGCTTCTAAATGGGATGTCCTAGAAGAGTGCATGGCACGTAAAATGAGCTCAATATAGTTTTTATTATTGTTTTTATCAAATATATAGTGTAAGTAAGCAGAGTGCTGGCTTCTATATACAAGAATATCATTATTCCAATCCAGTACTTTTAAATAATAACAACATAATCAATAATGGTATTGTCTATTGGTGTGGGTAGGGGTGGCATAATTATATATAGTTTTAAACCATCCTCTTCTCTGGGATGTGGAAAATATTACTGGAATTTGCATTTGTCTCCTAACCTTATTTCAGCTGATAATTCCATTTTTCTTTAAAGATCACAGAGAATGCCTCACAATATTATAAAACTAATGCTAGATTTGGAATCAGAATGTAAGAATTCATATTCTGGATTTGCCATTTTAAATATGTGGGAAGGTCACTTGACATCTGAGAGCCTGTTTTCTTGTCTTTTGCATGAGAAGAAAATCTCTTTTTCTGTCCATTTTACATGGCCGATTATGTGACGTATTCTGTAAAACATTATCCAAGTCCACAGTTCCTGTTTTGTAGCATAGCAGTTTGGCTTGAGTTGTGCCTTTCCTCCGGCCCCCGCCTCCCCTATGGTGTGAGAGCTGGAAGCTGGGCAGGAGAGGTAGGGAAAAGAATGGGAAGCGAGGCCTGGACTGTGCGCTGAACAGCTGATATCTAGATAACTCACCTGGGTTTGTCTCTTAGACTTAGATAGGGAGAAATGACCCATTCCTTTCCCTGGAATCCTTCAGACTTACTGAAGTGCAGGGTGTCAGAAGCCATCACCTCTGTGCAGTGTAGAGGATGGATTAGTTAAAAGCATGGGGTATAGAGTCAGACTGATGTGAGTTTCTGTTCCACCTCCACCATATACCAGTCTTTCAGGGTAGGGGCTACTTAACCACTGTAAATCTTTGTTCACACAATGTGGTGCCCACCTCACTGGGCTATAGTGAGGAATAAACAAGGCAGGATGTGTAGGGTACTCTTGGCCTCGCTGGCACGTGGTCACATTTATTCTTTGCATAGAGTGACAGCAGCAGTTGTAGTAGCTCCTCCCTGTCAGCATGGTGACTCTATGTCTACCCAGGTTCTTGGCGTTTCCTTACCAAGTTTCCCCACATCAACTCAGGAAGTAACCAAGGAAACATGCTCCAAGAATGAGATGAAAAACTGCAGAAAATCTATGTTCAAAAATTTACCAGTGTGTCTGTTGCAGCTGTGACCTCCACAAGTTCCAGAGATTACTCTCTCACTTTTGGTGCAACCAATCAAACATGGTCCTACCGTGTCCAGCAGAACATCACTTACCAGGTGTGCAGGCATGCCCCCAGACGCCCAGCCATCCCCACCACCCAGCTGCTGAATGTGGACCGGGTATTTGCCTTATACAGTGATGAAGAAAGAGTGCTTAGGTTTGCTCTGACCAATCAAATTGGTCCTGTTGAAGGTAAGGTTTCCTTTTGTGGTTGTTGTTGGGCAAAAAATTACATCCTTTTTGAGCAACCTTAGAGTAACTCAAAGAGGTTACTAAGGGAGTGCCAGGCTCTGTGTTAGGTGTTGGGCATAAGGATGAGTAAGCTGGGTCCCTGTCCATGAGGTGGAAAGAGAGACAGGATGGAATAGGGAAGTGTCCCTGCCAAAGCCAGGAAATAGAGCATGGTACATAAGGCTGGTTTGTAGCAATACCCAGCTGTAAGTACAAAGAAGGGATATACCTGTGAATAAGGTGGGACCAAGTAAGGAGGAAGAGTGATGCTGACAAGTATTTGTTACAATTGTGATGAGTGCAGGGTACCAGGATCTAGTCTGACAGTTCAAGAAGTGATGTTTTTGCTAAAACTTAGAGGATGAGAAGAATTCACCAATCTGAGGTGGGACAAAAAGTGCCTGAAAATACAACAAAATAGAACTTTGTGAAAACCTTCTGGCAACATTGTAGTTAATGTGAAAGACTAGATGCTTTCTCCTTAAGATCTGGAACTAGACAAGGATGTCTGCTTGCCTTTTCTGTCCAACACAGTACTAGAATTTCTAGCCAGGGCGATGAGGCAAGAACATGAAATAAAGGGCATCTAAATTGGAAAGGAAGAAGTAAAATTATTCTCAGATGACATGATGTTTTATGTTTCTACGTCTAAGGAATTCATGAAACTATTAGAACTAAAAACCAAATACACCAAAATGAATGTATTTCTCTATAGTAGTAGTGAACAAATTGAAAATGAAATTAATAAATTCCATTTCAAAAAGAATAAAACAGGAATAAAAATTTTAAAAGTAGTTCAATAGTTGTATGCTGCAAACCTACAAAACATTTTTGAAAACAAAATTAAAGAAGACAAATAAATGGGAAGATATTCCATGTTCATGGATTGGAAGACTTAATATTGTTAAGATGGCAATGCTTCCCAACTAGAGATTGTGTTGAATCAATAGATCAATCAGAATCTCAGCTGGCACTTTGTAGAAATTGACAAGATGATTCTGAAATTCATATGGAAATTCAAGGAACCAGAATAGCCAAAACAATCTTGAAAAGCAGCATAAAGTTGGAAGACTCATACTTCACAATCTCAAAACTTAGATTAATTAAGACATTGTGGTTCTGGCATAAGAATAGGTATAACAGTCCATAGAACAGAAGTGAGAATCTAGAAATAAACACATTTACAGTTGACTGCTTTCTCAACAAGGGAGCCAAAACAATTCAATGGAGAAAGAATAGTAGTAACAGATGGTGCTGGGGCAACTGAATAACCACCTACAAAAGAGTCAAGTTGAACCTCTACCTCAGCATATGTAAGGGCTAAAACTTTCAGAAGAAAACATAGGCGTGAAATTTTGTGACCTTGAATTTGGCAATGGATTCTTAGAGATGACACTAAAAGTCCAAGCAGCAAAAGAAAAATAAACTGAGTGTCATCCAAATTTTAAAATGTTGTGTTTCGGAGGGCATTATCAACAAAATGAAAATGCAATCTGCAGAATGGAAGAAAATATTTTACATCATATATTTAAAAAGAGACTTGTTCTAGAATATGTGAAGTACTCTTACAACTCAATAATAAAAAGACAAATAATCTAATTGAAAGATGGACAAAGGATCTGGAAAGACATTTCTCTAAAAAAAAAAATTGGTAGATATCCAATGAGCATGTGAAAAGATGTTCAACATAATGAGTCCTCAGGTAAATTCAAACAAAACCCACAATGAGATACCACTTTATATTATGTGAATGACTATACCCAAAAAATAGAAAATAACAAGCATTGGTGAGGATGTGGAGAAATTGGAGCCCTCATATATTGTTGGCGTGAGTGTAAAATGGTGCAGCTATTGTGAAAAACAGAAAAGCAGTTTCTCAAAAAGTTAAGCCATTTGATCGAGCAGTTGCCATTTGATTGAGCAGTTCTACTCTAAGCTATATAACCAGGAGAAGTGAAAACTTAGGTCTCCACAAAAATGTGTTCACGAATGTTCACGGTAGCATTATTCATAATAGCTAAAAGGTGGCTATGGTCCATTAGCTGATGACATGGATCCAAAAAAGTCATGTCTTCATATGATGGAATATTATTCAGCCCCAAAAAGGAATGAAGTACTGATACATCCTGCAACATGGATGAACCCAGAAAACATCACACTGAGTGAAGGGAGCCAGTCACGAAGGACAGCATATTGCAGGGGTCCAACTCAATGGATTGTCCACAGGGACAGCATGCAGTGGTAGCACAGGGTCCAGAGTGGATAGTTAAAATGGACAGTTTCTTTTGACAGTGATGAAAATGTCCTAAAATTAATTGTAGTGATGGTTGCCCTACTGTGAATATATAAAAATCACTTAGCTATGTATTTTAAATGGGTGAATTGTGTGGCATTTAATTATATCTCAGTGGAAGAAAACAGTGGTGGAAACAAAATGTCAGTGCAGTGGTTCTCAAATTCCTTCCTTCCTTCCTTCCTTATTCTCAGTCTGTCGCCCAGGATGGAGGGCAGTGGCACGCTTACAGCCACCACAGCCTCAACCTGCTGGACTCAGGTGACCCTTCTGCCTCGGCCTTCCAAGTAGCTGGAACTAAACGCACACGCCACCACTCCTGAGTAATTTTTTGATTCTTTGTGGAGAGGAGGTCTCGCCAAGTTGCCCAGGCTGGTCTTGAACCCCTGGGCTCAGGGAATCCTCTCACCTCGGCCTCCCAAAGTGCTGGGATTATAGGCATGAGCCACCATGCCTGGCCAGTTCTCAAGTTTCAGTGAGCATCGGCCTCACCTGTGAAGACAGATTTGAAAACGCAGATAAAAGGACTTGGTGTGGTGACTCACACCTGTAATCCCAGCACTTTGGGAGGCTGAGGCAAGAGGACTGCTTGAGCCTAGGAATGTGAGACTAGCCTAGGCAACATAGTTGAGACCTTGTCTCTACCAAATATAAAAAAACAAAAAACAAAAAAACGATCCAGGCATGTGCTTGTAGTCCCAGCTACTCTGGAAGCTGAGGTGGGAGGATCACCCAAGTCTAGGAAGGAGGTCAAGACTGCGGTTCGCCATGATCATGCCACTACATTCCAGCCTGGGCAACAGAGTGAGAAAAAAAAATGCAGATAAACATGTTCTGGGCTTATCAAGGCATGAAAAGATAGGGAGAGTGTTGGTATGTGAAAGAAGCCAATCTGAAAAGTCTGTGTCCTGTGTGATTCCAACTAGATGATATTCTGGAAAAGATTAAACTACAGCAACAGTAAGAAGATCAGTTGTTCCCAGGGGCTCAGGGCAAGAGAAGAGAAGGATGAGTGCTGGATGATACTATAAGAATGAATGCAGCCAGGCTCGGTGGCTCAGCCTGTAATCCCGCACTTTGGGAGGCTGATGTGAGTGGATTGCCTGAGCCCGCGGGTTCGAGACCCGCCCGGGCAACTTGGCAAGACCTCATCTCTACAATAAATCAAAAAAAGGATCGCCGGAGCCCAGCAGGTCGAGGCTGCAGTGGCCGGGACCGGCCACTGCACTCCAGTCTGGGTGACAGAGAAGACTCCGACTCAAAAAAAAAAAGAACGAATGCATGACATTCTACATTTGTCAAAATCTACAGACCCGTACTACACAAAGAGTGAGTCCTAATGCACACTATTAATAATAGAGAAAATTTTGCAAGTGGGGAGAACAGGAGTATATAGGAGCTCCATTTTTCTGTAAACCTAAATGTATCCTAAAAGATAAATTCTATTGATTTTTTTTTTTTTTTACATTTAGCTAAAAATTTATTTAGAAATTTTACAATCATTCTTTAAGGCTGTTAGTGAACTGGGATGCATGGAAGAGATAAGTCACCCAGGTCACAATATCACCAAGTCTATTAATTTTTTTTTTTTTTTTTTTTTGAGTTGGAGTCTCACTCCGTCGCCCAGACTAGAGTGCAGTGGTACTCCCGACCACAGCAGCCTCGACCTGCTGGGCTTCGGCGATCTTTCCGCCTCAGCCTTCCCAGTAGCCGGAATTACAGGCATGCGCTACCACGCCCGGCTGATTTTTTGATTTATTGCAGAGATGAGGTCTCGCCAAGTTGCCCAGGTGGGTCTCGAACCCACGGGCTCAGGTAATCCACTCACCTCAGTCTCTCAAAGGCGCGGGATTACAGGCTAAGCCACCGAGCCCAGCTAGTCTATTAATTTTTAAAATGAGGTCCTAGGCAGGCCAGAGGATGAGCTTGTGAAGTCAGGGAACACAACAGATGGGAAATTACTTTGTCAGATAAAGGGGGCATTTTAATTTTGAAAATTAATAAGTCATATTTTGCCTTAGCATTTAATAGCCACATGAGGAGAAAGAGAATGACTACCACATTCATCCTCTATGGTGACATTGTTGAGCCCAGAATTAGTGCCACAGACTTTAGGAGGCCAAGGCAGGAGTTGAACACCAACCTGGGCAACAGAGAGAGACCCTGTCTCTACAAAAAAAATTTAAAATTGAGCCTGGTATGGTGATACGCACCTGTAGCCCCAGATACTCAGGAGGCTGAGGCAGGAGGATCCCTTCAGCCCAGGAGCATCCCTTCAGCCCAGGAGCTTGAGGTTGCTGTGAGTGTGATCATGCTACTGCACTCCAGCCTGAGTGACAGAGTAAGGCCCTGTCTCTTTTTTTTTTTGAGTTGGAGTCTCACTCTGTCACCCAGACTGGAGTGCAGTGGCTGCTCTCGGCCACTGCAGCCTCGACCTGCTGGGCTCCAGCGATCCTTCTGCCTCAGCCTTCCAATAGCTTAAACTACAGGTGCGCGCTACCACACCTGGCTAATTTTTTATTTATTGTAGAGATGAGGTTTTGCCAAGTTGCCCAGGTGGGACTCGAACCTGCGGGCTCAGGCTATCCTCTCACCTCGGACTCCCAGAGTGCTGGAATTACAGGCTGAGCCACCGAACCTGGCCGGCCCTGTCTCTTAAAAAAAAAATTAGTGCTACAGAGAAGTGATTCTATAACTGATGAGTGGGTCTAGCCTGTATTATGGGAGCTGAAAGTGCCTATAACTTATATGGAAGTATCACTTCAGCAATATGATAACAGGAGGTGAAGGTGTGACAGCTAGGATCCTCTCCAGAATCCAGGCAGAACTTGTCCTGAGAATCCTGAGTTTCTTGGGTTGGTAGGTTTGTTGGTTTTGTCTTAGAAAACTTGGTTGGGGACTTATATATTGGGTGTGTCCAAAGATGGGACTGTAAGCTAGAGAATACATGAAAATGTCAGTTCATTGCAGAGAAACACGTAAATCAGAAAGGAAGTGGTTGTTTCTGCACATTTCTCAAGGAGAGATTTAAACAAAAACTGTTGGGGAAAACATTCTTTACCTTTACGTGTCCAGCTCAGCCCCTTTGCTGGGTATAGGCATCTGATCTGTACAAACAGTCATTTGTGGAAGACGCTCCCAGACCCTAGAGTCCTATTCAGATTCTGGAGCCATTTAGGGAAAAGATATATCTGTGGGTGTAGTTTTCCTAGAAACATCCCTCAAAAAACCCAGCAGACTGGCAGATAATAAATTGCTCATTTGTCTTTAGAATTTTTTATGATTTTCCCTTCCACCCCAGTCAAATAATAATAATAATTAATAATAAGTAGCAAAGGATAATTTACTTGGTACCAAGCAAATGATCTAAATTCTAAACACCTTACATATTAAATTCTAAACACCTTACATGAATTAACTTGTTTAACCATAACAACCTTTAACACATAGGCAGGTATTATTATTATCGTCCCATTTGATAGATGTTAAGACTGAGGTATGCAGATGGAGTTATGTCCCTGGTCACAGATAGTTGAGTAGTGAGCTGGGTCTCAGACCCAGGCACCGGCTCTGGTATCTGCACTCTGACCCCTCATGGCCCTGCTGTTCCCCACAGACTCCACTGGTCTCACGACTACCTCCTAATTGAGACCAAATTTCAAGAGAGACAACATATTTTTAAACCCTTTGTGTTTGAACCCCATATTATCCACCCATCGCAATAATGTTCCTTCTACTCAAATAGGAGAAAAATGAGGGAAAAAAATAAAATAAAAGCTCTCTTTCTCTCCCCTCACAGTACACAGCATAAACAACATCTTCTTAAGAGTCTTGAACTTTTTCCAGAGGGAGCCATTATCTGGCTGGAATGCCTGTGAGACTGCTCGCACCTGACAGAAGCAGCCTGGTTTCCTAGGGTCAGGGTGCAGAGTGAGTGTCTTTCCCAGTGAGTAATCAGAGCCTGTGCTGACTCCCCAATCATTGGTGCCGACCCTAATTTGTTTGAGCTTCAATGTGAGTTGGCTGTTTTTTGTGGACTCCTAGAATAGGATTCAAAAATGCTTCCTGTCCTTCTACCTCAGGGGTCCTTTGGGCGAGTGGAGGAGACTCCAGGCAGAGGGCCATGCAGTGAAGCTGAACGGGCTGTGCCTTTAAGGAAAACCACTCTTTCCCTCCTGATTAAATGAGTAAATTAATTCCAGATCTTCTGTCAGGGAGTCAAGCAGTTTAAGTAACAGGGTGAGGGTGAAATACAAAATGTCTTAAGAAGGATAATGCTGTTTTTTACTTGCTATAATAGAAGAAAAGCTCATGGACCACAGAGGATGAATAGGAAAATGGCTTTGTAAATGTATTTTTAAAAAGTTTTTGGAAGCCAAGTTCAATGAGCAGGACCCCACGCTCAGACAGGCTTCACGCTTGGCTTAATGCTTTGCTGTCACTATCTTGTAATTCTTAATTTTTGAAGAAGGGTCTCTGCAAGTTTTGTAGCTAGTTCTGTCAGTGAAATATATTTTAAGTCAGTATTGGGTCATGGTGGACATTTTCTTCTCAGTTCCAGGTCAGATAGTGTACCCTATCCAAGTTTGCAAGTCAACTTTTGAGCTGCATTTTTTTTTCTCTTAATGCCTAGTGGAGTGGTAAGTTCTTGAGGTCCATGTGAACTCACTAATCTTTGCTGGAATGTGCCATGGTGAAATTTTGCTGCAGGAAAGTACTGATTGAGAAGGCTAAGCATTAAATTAAAACATTTTGATGATTGCTCCCCCTTTGGCTGGGTTTGCCAGGCATTTTGTACAGAATCTTCCCCAAGATGGAGAAATAATGGCGGGAGAGGTTCTGGTCCTTGTTTTCACACTGGGCCTTCAGTGAGGACATGACCCTTTCCTTTCCATTGTAACATGCTGAGGACGGATGCAGGAACCTGGTCTATCCTTTCAAGTTCACTCAGCAACCACAACCCCAGCTCTGTACTTCTCATCTGTCAAGAGACCCAGAGGGAGGAACTTTCAAGGATGTCTGCTTATGCTGACATAGTTAACTTCATCAGGTTTAAAAAATGCTGGAACTAACAGTTGGTTCTTTGTTTTGGCAAAGATTCTCTTACTCCATCCAATGTCATTGTGGTGAACCAAGGATAATCCCATAGTCCTCCTTATTTTCAGCCAGTAACTTGGGAATCAATGATATGGGAATAGTCTGCCACAAGAACACCCAGTTGTGTTTCTTATAAAGTGGATGGGAAAGGGGTTACCAGAAAGCCTGGGATATCTCAGTCAAGACATCTCAGTTCATAGCAGACTAACGGAGGAAACTGGAAGAGCCATAAGACGGATGGGGGACAAGCACTGGGGAGATATCAGATGTCCTGAAGGACCCAGAGGGAATCCAGCCTATGAGGCAGGCTGCAGCAGCAAGCACTTAGGGTCTAGACTAGGAGTCATCTTGGGCGAATATTACCCCACAGCACTGGGTTGTGGTTACTGAGTTAACAAGAATATAGAATATAGTTTCCTGAGTCTGTCTTTAGCATGTTGTAATTGAAAACAGCAGGGTCAGCCGGACTCAGTGGCTCAGCCTGTAATCCCGCGCCTTTGGGAGGCTGAGGTGAGTGGATTGCCTGAGCCCGCGGGTTCGAGACCCGCCTGGGCAGCGAGACCTCATCTCTACAATAAATCAAAAAATCAGCCGGGCGTGGTAGCGCCTGCCTGTTATTCCGGCTACTTGGAAGGCTGAGGTGGAAGGATCGCCGGAGCCCAGCAGGTCGAGGTTGTGGTGGCCAGGAGCAGCCACTGCACTCCAGTCTGGGTGACAGAGTGAGAATCCAACTCAAAAAAAAAAAGAAAACAGCAGGGTCATGACCTCACTGAAGGCCCAATGTAAGATGGGGACTTGAGTCTCCCTCATTTTAGGAGAACATTCTATACAAAGTAGTGGGAGTGTGATTTCATGGGTGAGATAGAGTGAAATGATGAGAGAATCCAGGAGAAGGTGGTACTAGGAAATTATAACAGATGGGACTGCCCCAAAGTCTTCTTCCTGCAGATGCCATGATGCTGACATCTGGAGCTAGTGAGAGAACTGGAGGGCACTTGGTAGGCTTCACCGGAGCTTTTAAATCTTTTGAATCTAAGATTAGAATTAATTCTGGGGACTGAGGCAAAGCTAAATCCGCCAATGAGGATGAACAGTGGAGGAGGCAGAAGGAATGCTGTCACTGGAGACAGGGTAGACCTGCCAACGGAGACTTGCCTTTCAAATGTGTTGTGTTGGGTTCTCTTTATTTTTTAGCAGTTCTGGTAGATATAAATATTTTCATTTTTATTTTACACCTGAGGGATCAGAAATACCGAGAAGTGCCCAAAGTTGCTAGATTCATTTCATCTGAGCATCTGGGGCTCCTTCCAACACTTCTGTGTCACTGACTTGGATGAGGTAACTTTGTGAGGTTCCTTCAGTGATGGTTACAGCATCTGGAGCTAGACCGCCAGGATTTTTATTTTATCTCACCTCCATCTACCTGTTCTGAATGTGCAACCTTGGGCAGGTTACTTGACCTCTCAGTGCTGCTGTACAAATGAAGATGATGATAATACCTTCCTACCTACCATATGTAGTCATAGGGATGGTATATGTACAGGGTTTAGAACAATGCCTGGCATATGAGTGCTCAACAAGCATTCACTATTATGTTGCATGTAGAAATAAAGCTCTTTAGAAAGGTTTCAGGAGCTAAGTCATCACTACCGAGTGAGTGGATGGATCATGGCAAGGTTAGTCCTGAAGAGTAAACACTGGGAAAGCCATTCCTGTTTATTTGGTGTTAGGAATCTCAAAACATCCCAAATTTTGTAACAACTGGATTTTACCCGTAAAAATAGTGAAGATCAGTGAGAGACCGCCCAGGGTAGAGCCGGAAATGTGGGCTTTGCAGCCTTGCTGTACCACTTCCTGATTTTGCGAGCAAGGGCAACTTTCCCTTTGCCTCTCACTCACCCTCCTTCTCTGTGAAAGCTGCCCATAATAGGAGTAGCAAGTCACCATCGAGAATTATCCTGGGAATCATAAGAGACAGTAGAGCAAAAGCACTTTCAAATCAAAGGTGTTGGGCATTTTTATTTCCTGGACACAAACCTACTGAAAGCAAGAAAAGGCACTAGTTGTCTCAAGGGTGGGCAATAGGAGGCTGTTCTGGAATTTAAAACTGAGATGCAGTCATAGCACCCTAGGTATGGATATTGATAATTTAGTAATGTCTCCAGGTGTGCCACGAAACACAGCCAAGCACACAGTCATTGCCAAGGAGTCTTCTGTCTCCTTTTGTGTCATCTCTTAGCAGCAGCCAAATTGTGCTTTTGTGTATTTCCTCGCATGCAGGAGACTCGGATCTCACTCTGGTGAATCCTTGCTATGACAGGAGCCACACATGCGACACAACAGCCCGGTGCCATCCAGGGACAGGTATGGATTACACCTGTGAGTGTGCACCTGGATACCAAGGAGATGGACGGAACTGTGTGGGTAAGAGCCATGTTCCCTGTGTCTCTTCCTTATAGCCCCTGTTTTTACCTTGCCCTCTCCAGCCTGATGTCTGTGAAAGACAAGCATCTGTCATCTTTATGAGCTCCATGGAGCAGTGATTTTAGCAGCTGTTAATCTAAGCACAGTTATTCAAAAACTAAAGCATAGTCTGGTTAGATTTGAAAAGATAGTTTGGAGGTATTTTGGGACAGGGCTGTGAAAAGAAAACATCTGTTGCAATTCCCGGATATTTTTAGTAAGTTTTGTGATTTGGGGCCTGTAAGAAGTAGTTCTTAGATTTACTTAAAAGCGTGTTTTTTGGTTTTCTTTAAATTCCAGACATTGTGTTTCTTTCACCTTTTATATCCCCAAAAGCAACAGAAGAAATTTCTTATATTAAAAAAAAATTGTTACACCGTGTTGTTTTCTTCTAAATATCTATTATTTTTTAAACGTGTAAAGAGTTCGTAGAATATTATTACAAAACTATCTTCTGTGGCTTACACTGGGAAGACATGAAATACATTTTTATTTTTGATGATCTGCATGAGCTCACACCTGATGCTTAGAAATCCTACTTTTTTACTTCTCTTGAGCCCACCAACCATTAGTCCCATGGAAGCCTCATAGTGGTGGAAAAAACATTGAGCTTTCAACCCTTTTACTCCTGGGACCCTTGACTTAAGCAGCATTTTCTAGTTCTCATTTCTTTTTAGATGTCAATGAATGTGCAACTGGCTTCCATTACTGTGGCCCCAACTCTGTGTGTATCAACTTGCCTGGAAGCTATAGGTGTGAGTGCCGAGGCGGTTATGAGTTTGCAGATGACCGACACACTTGTGTCTGTGAGTACGTCTTTTTTTTTTTTTTTTTTTTTTGTGGGCCGAAATGGTGCTGAATCTTGCTCTTGAATCCATTAATGTTTCCACTTCTGCTGTACAGCGGCTCTGCTATGTGGTTTTCTTGAAAACACAATTTACATTGAGTTAATCCAAAGCTATGGCTCAGTTTAACCCTGTTTAAATTTGATTGTTTCCCCTAAATAGATATTCTTGATATTGAGTTTTTAAAACGATGTTCATCTCAGGTGGGATTATTGTATGTCTTGGTATTTGGCCTAGTCATGTAATAAGACTATGACCCTCCCCTGTAAACACCCTAGCACTAGATAAAGCTTAAATATTTCTCAAATCAGATGGCGGTAGATTTATTTTTTATTTTATTTTATTTTATTTTATTTTGAGTTGGAGTCTCACTCTGTCACCCAGACTGGAGTGCAGTGGCCGCTCCCGACCGCCGCAGCCTCGACCTGCTGGGCTCCGGCGATCCTTCGGCCTCAGCCTTCCAAGTAGCCGGAATTACAGGCATGCGCTACCACGCCTGGCTGATTTTTGGATTTTTATTGTAGAGATGAGGTCTCGCTGCCCAGGCGGGTCTCGAACCCGCGGGCTCAGGCAATCCACTCACTTCAGCCTCCCAAAGGCGCGGGATTACAGGCTGAGCCACCGAGCCCGGCTGGAGGTAGATTTATAATTCACAGATACTTGTCTCACTTGACCAGCCAAAGAACTTCATCTCTAATAAATATACTCTCTCTAGGGTTCTAAAAAATACTTCAGACTTAAAAGTAGAATTGTCCGAACTAGAGTTCCAAATTCATCCCATCGAGGACTAGGTGATAATACAGAGAAGACACTGTTTAATCCAGTAAGATGAAAAAATACCAGTGATAGTAGAAGCTGTGGCAGGTAGGGGGGCAATTGCTCTGGAGTGATATAAACTTTAATCAAGGACTGTTTGGATGACTGATTTTCATGCTTAGTACTTTAACCACAAACCCATACCAGCATTTCTCAAACTTTAATATGTGAATGAGCCGTCTAGGAATCTATTTAAACTTCCTATTTTGACTCACTGGCCTGGGTAGGGCCCAAGAATCTACATTCCTTACACATCCCAGGGGTGGCGCTGCTATCTGTCCATGTACTGCACTGTGAGGAGCAAAGCTCACCCTTCTCAGGCGTGAACTCTTAGATGTCCTTACCTCCTTCTCTTTTCAGTGATTGCCCCACCGTCCAACCCCTGCGAGGATGGCAGTCATACCTGTGCTCCTGCTGGGCAGGCCCGGTGTGTGCACCATGGAGGCAGTGCGTTCAGCTGTGCTTGCCTGCCTGGTTACACTGGCAACGGCCACCAGTGTTCTGGTGAGTATCTGCAGGTCAGCTTCAGCGACCCTGGAAGTTACCTTGGATGCATATCCTCATGTAGATACCACCCCTCCATATAGATGCAGTCTCTCCCAAAAAGGACCACTTCCTTCCTTGGACTGAAACAGCCTTGCAGTTGCCAAAAGAGAGAGTAAACAAGTATCCCTTGAGTCAGAAAGAAAAATCACAGGTGATTTCCCTTGGACTAGATTGGCGGGCATATGTAGCTGTCCTTGTTAGAGGCATTCCTGGAAAGCTGGGGAGCTGCTGCCAGCTTGTAACCTTTGGCTCCTTGGAGCTGGTGTAGGTTGGAAGAAACTTGGGGAAAGTCGCATACTCTCCTGTGTGGGAGTCCTGTCTTTCAACCTCCTTGGTTAACGGCTTAATTCAGCACTGACGATCGTGCCCGCTTCTGCTTTGAGTGATGTTTTAGGCATCCTCTTAACACACTTATTAACGTTCTTTCTCTCTAAATTTTTCCTGTCGTCTTTCAAAAGAAGGAAAGAAAACTTTACAGATATAAAAAGATATTAATGCATACCCAATTCCTCAAAACTTTTCTCCCAAAAATCTATTTTAAGACTTTGGGTAGTATTTTATAAAACCACGAAACCAAATGCAGGGTTAACCATTCACATTCCACTTAGTCGGAAAGAATGTGTGAAGTTTTTATTTAAAACTAGACATAACTCTCTGCATATAAATGCTCATGAAACGAAGATTACTAGTGCTTTAAAATAGAGATTATTCGGTAAATCTACTTAAACCAGGAAAGGTTTTCCAAGCATACCCAGTGGGATGTGATCAGATTGAAACTCAGTTTCATGTCACTCGCACAGTTATGGTAAAATGAGACACTGGGGATGAAAGAATGATGGGGAAAATGTGTGGAATGGGAAGGGGGCCTTTTTGGGGAATATAAACCTAAAAGGCAGGTTTCCCCTCCTCCTTGAATTGCTTTTTTGCATCTGTCTCCATCTACCCGGGCCCACTGAGCAAGTGGCTAAGAGTTACAAGGTTGTTCTTAACCACTTGCTCAGTGGGCCCAGGTAAATGGAGACAGATGCAAAAAAGCAATTCAAGGAGGAGGGGAAACCTGATTTTTAGGTTTATATTCCCCCAAAAGGCCCCCTTCCAACTCCTGGGAGCTTTAGAGCAGATCTGAAAAGCACGGGCCTCCTTCCTCCTCACTAAATGTTTGATTCTTATCCTTCCTCTATTTTTCCCCCTTTGGTTTAGCAGGATGGGCTGACGAGACAGCAGGCTAAGGCCAGGTGTCACTGATAGAACAAATGAGTGATGGTGGCTCAGTCTTCCACCTCCCTCTGGATGGGACAGACTGTGTGATGTTGTGTGAGCCTTGTCCTTAACAGAAGCTTTGCTGTGTGGTTTTATTAAAAACACAATTTATATTAAAATGACCCAAAGCAATGACTCAGTTTAGTCCTGTTTTTTGTTTGTTTGTTCATTTTTCCTGAATAGATATTTTTGGTGTTGAGTTATTGAAAGATGGTGCTATGGTCTGAATGTTTATTCCCTCCACAACTTATATTGAAACTTAATTCCCAGTTTGACAGTATTGAGAGGTGGAGCCTTTAGGAAGTGGTTGGATCAAGAGGACTCAGCTCCCATTAGTGGACCAATGGATTAATAGATTGTCATGGGAGAGGCACTCGTGGCCGAGTAAGAAAAGGAAGTGAGACTGAGAGAACATGTTAGCTCACTCTACCCCTCACTATGTGATACCCTGTACTACCTTGACTCTTCAGAGAGTCTCTATCAGCAAGATGGAGTCCTCACCAGATGTGCCCCTATTACCTTGGAATTCTCAGCCTTCAGAACTATAAGAAATGATTTCCTTTCTTTTATAGGTGATGTGGTTTCAAATAATTATGTTATAAGCAACCAAAAATGGACCCCCTACAGGTATGGAGTTCAGGGTGAAGTACATAAGCTCAACAGTGGGAATAATGCTTTATCCATCCTTATAGAACTTATCATTCCGTTTACCAGCTCTAAGGATTGAGAGTGCATAAAGAAAAAAAAAACTTTCATATTTAAACATCTAACTGCTCAGATAGATGGTGATTTTAAGGTATTTAATTCCTTAGCTCTTTGGTTTAAAGCAAAGAAGTTGACATTAATTTCAGCCTAGATTTGATGAATGTTAATAATCACAATGTTAATTTAGGTTAGATGCTGCTTGCTTTAATCTCTTTTAGAATCATTTTATATGTGTTCTTTTTGCTTCTACTTGTCCTACAAGAATTGAGTTACCTTCTAGAGTCATGTTAGGACCCTGAAATTGACAACTTTTCTATGTTGGGAGTTTTAGAATATTGCTGTTCTTATTATTACCCTCTCTTTTATTTCTGTCATTTTCAATTGTCTCCATTTTATCTTTGGTTCTCTACTTTTAAAATTCTCTCCAGAGTCCACAAACTTCAAAAGTATACTGAATCCTTCAAGGGCTTCCCCAGAGTACTAGTTATCAAATGCTGTATAACAATTTCCCCCAAAATGTAGTAGTTTAAAACAATACACATTTATTATCAGTGTGCCAGGGACCTGGGAATGGCTCAACTGGGTCCTCTGCTCCAGATCTCTCACGAAGCTGCAGTCAAGGTGTCTGGCAGGCCTGAACTCTTATCCAATGGCTTAACTGGGGAGAGATCCTCTCATGGTTATGGACAGGGCTCAGTTCTTTGAGGACAGTTGAACTGAGAGCCTCAGAAAATCAAGGGCCTCTCCAACACGATAACCTATTTTATTAAAGCCAGTGAGAAAGTCTGCTAGCAAGATGGAGTCATAATCACCAAGATGACATCCCCTTCAATGTTGCCTTATTGTATTGGTTAGAAGTTACTAAAGGGTAGGAGATTACACAAGACTTTGAAACCACTAGGTAGGAATTGTTGGAGGCCATCTTAGAGGTGGCCTACCACGGCCAGTTAACACGAGTTGCCTTCCAAACTCTCAGTTGTGGGGCAGTAGTGAAGGGATGGTCATTTTCCTAAAGACCCGTGCATATTAGGGGAACCCAAAAAACCATGGAATTATGTTTTGGAGGGCAGTCCCCTTGTTGTACACTTGAATTTGTTCCTCCAGATCAAACAATCAACCAAAGTTTTTATCTGGAAGTTTTGAGAAGCTTACTTCATGATTTGTGGAAGAAATGTCCTAAGTTGTGGTAAATAGGTTACTGGTTCTTCCACCAAGACAAAGCACCCGCCCACATTGTGCTGAGTGTTCAGCAGTTTTTGACCAAAAAAATGACATGAACCCCTGTGCCCTACCCTCCCCATTTACCCCTTCTTGCCCTGAGCAAATGATTTTTGTTTTCCCAGATGAAAAATGTCCTCAAAGGAAAATGTTTTGCTAAAGTAGAATAAAAAAATGGCAGAAGCACTAAAAGACAACAATATTGACAAGTTTAAAAACTGTTCTGAGCAGTGGAAAAAGTGTCTTGATAGGGAGGGGTATTATATCAAGTGGAGATTACATTGAAGGTGCTTGAAGTTTAAACATGTAAGAATAAACACACAATTTTTTATAAACAAATTCTGGGATTTTTTGGGTCCCCCCTCATAAATCAGGCTAGGCCAATCATGAAAGTAACTTGCAGAATAATGTATAAATATACTACTACATAAGTGTGTGTGCATATTTAAAGACATTCCATCGTGTCCATGTGTCTCAGTTACTAAAGCATATTTGAAGGCTCTGTTTTGTGGGAACTGTGCATGCTTCAAGCACGTACTTTTTTTACTCCATTAAACTAACAATAGGAGGGTTGTGGGTTTTTCTTCAGCCACGGTTGGTTTAAAAAAAAACCAGCCTCCCTCAAGGGGCTGCACTTGGATTTGGGTTCTCTGTCTGGCATAAGTTACCAGCAAGGAGGCTTTCATCCAAGAGGCGTTAACTCTTCTTCAGCTTTCCTCTAACTGGAGTGATTTCAGCCTGGTATTGGTATGAGCTGGATATTTCTTAGGCATATTTGTCCTTTAGAGTCTTGATGACTTTGCTGGGTGATAAAAACAGATTGTCTCAAGTGGGGGCCTTCCCCTGGAGGAGGAGCAAGTTGAACCAAGGAAGCTGGGTTACAGTTGGCCTGTTAACCAGAGGCATCACCACTCAGGAGGATGATGGGAGGAGGGTACTGGCAGTCTTCTTTCTTAGGTTTTCTGTTCTGAGAATGTAGATGTGAGGTATGGTAAGGTCAGTATAGTCATAGAAGAAAGAGTCTTGAAAAGAAATATATTATACTCACAGGTCGCCATATGCCACATGGGGGTACGACCAGCAGGGTGCACAGCTGAACAGGTAGGGAGGGGAAGGAGAGTAGGGCCTGTGGTCCAGCACCTTTACTGGGGTCCAGGGTAGGGTTGAATTTAATTGGTGCCGAGGAATTTCAGCTGGGCTCAAAGACAAATGGGTGTTGGGGGCATGACTAGACTAGACCAGAGCCCAGTGGTTCCAGCTGGTTTTGCTCAAAATTAGGGCAGTGAGAAGGATCTTGAAACACCAAAGCATGACCTCAAAATGGAGACTTGTTATTGCATTTTCCCAACAGGTTTTTGCCAGCTTAATAGATGATAGAGTGGAGGGTTGTGTCGGGATTGAGCTACCTTTCATTACGTGAATGATAAATGGGCTTCACTATTCCTTGAACATTTTTGTCTTGGTTTTTGCCAGTGCCTATACACCCTCGCCATAACCAGTGACCCCCTCCTCCAACAGTATGATAAGGAAAGCTCCCTGGCCAAGGGGCTAAAAGGCTTATCTTCTCTCTTGGCATCTTACATCATGTGTAATACTGAAAAGTCTCATTCTTCACTCAAAAGCTCCTGCTTTCTCCCCAGCCTCTTAGTATTTATAGTCCTGAGAGGAGACTATAGCCGGCTCCGAGCTCAGGCTCTGGAACAGACTTCAGCCTTCTATCATGGTGTGAGACCCTCCAAGGAGGAGTCAAGGACTGCGATTCAGGGAGCCTTAACCTTCTATATCTCTGGGTGCGACTAGGATTTCTCACTTGTGATGCCTTCGGTTTCTTCATGGACTTTCTCTTCCTTTTGGTCATTTAAAAGTTACTGATAAATCTTTGCTGATGACACCAGTGTCTGTGAGGAGAAAGGCTGGTCTTTCAGATTGGGCCAAAATCCTAGGAACCAGGTTCTGTGAACATCAGTGATTCAGGAGCTCTGGGGAAATCCCCTGTCTCTTCGTTAACAAATAACCATAAGAAACTGCTCTGTGGACTCCAGAAATAGGCCTAGTGTCTCGGGAATTCCTGCTTCCTGTCATTGCCTAGGGTTCCTGTTACCATTAGAAGTACTTTAAGCATATGTTTTGTGAATAGCTTTAATTTCCTGCATTTGGCTAGATGTTAATTTTTACAGCTTTGGTTTTACAGCTGGTTTTACAGTTTCTTCTAGGTCCAAGGAATTGGATGCTCACCAGCTTTGCCCAACTGGGTATGTGAGCTTTCCTTTTGAAGAGGCAGAGAGCCGACCTCAAGGATAATTAAATATGATAATGTTGGCTTATTTGGGGGTAACTGAGGAGCTAACTAGAACACCTTGTTTGTTTCTACCCTTGCAGATTCATTCATATCTACCTTCCTGCCTCTGTAAGTGAAATGAAGGCCAACTGCTCAGCTTGACAGAGCCTCTCTGGGTGGTATTAGACTTGGTTGTGTTGAGCATTCAGGTTTTTTTGGTTTGTTTTTGGACTTCAAGGAACTGATGCATGTTGACTAAACTCCCAGGGGCAGAGGATAAGTAGAATGTTCATTTGGTAATTAAAATAGAAAAGCTTCCTCTGCAGTGAACAGAATGCCTACATTCTATATGTTTGCTTAGTGGGCCCCATATGAGAAGGTTGTTCTGCAAGAGTGTGCTCAGAGTAAGAGTGGTGGGGTGAACCCTCAACGAGGTCACACCTGGGGCGTGGGAGGCTGAACGAGGTGTCACCCTGTCCCCAGCCTGCTCACATTAGATTTGGGCTCCGAGTTTCCACTTTCCCAGGCCGATGTGTCTTTGCTGTGGTCTGTACCACATTAATATAGTTCGTTCCTGTTTTCTGAGTTCCACACCAACCGCCTATCCTGTGTTTTGTTTTTTCTATTCACACGTTTTGTATTTTCTGGTTGTTGTTATAGCTGTGACTGCAGCTTCATTTTCTTTTCAGCCAACTCTTGATCAGACCTTTGTTTATCTTCCTTTTGCTCAGGAAGATTTCCTGTCTCTTAAGATAGTTGATCTCATCCATTGGGTGTTAGTTTTAACAATTCAGTTCTCAGAGTTTCTTTTTTTGGGGGAGGTGTAGTGGGTGGAAGGTGACTTGCCGTTGCTGACCTGTGGAGAGTTCATTAAATACAAGAAAAGGAATCCAAACTGGCTTTTGTTTGGAGGATCAGGATTTTGCAGTTTTGAGAAATAGGATTATGAAAATTAATCCTTATAGTGCCATGGAAAGAGTGGAGGGGCCTGAATTGTTTATACGGATATGCCTGGCACATTTAGATTTTTTTTTTAATGTGTCATTTCAAAACCCTAGGTAATATTTTTCTTACTTTTTGTTTTTTTGGTCTTATATGTCTTCTAAAAGTGGAAAGAAATATATAAAAGTGGAAAGAAAATATCTGGTTAACGTGGGGTTCTAGACAATAGGACTCTGATTCAACAAGACAGGATGTGCTTCTTAGTTGGAAAAATATTTGGGCCCTCATCTGGCTCTTTTGCTTCTAAAAATAAGTGTTACAGGGAGATGGTCCCCACAATGAAAGAAAAGAAACAACTATTGTTATATATATTGGTCTTTATTGTAGTGTTACTGAAAGGAAGCTAATGATTTATAGTCTGAAGGTTAGTTCAAAGGTAACAACTTCCTGGAATTCACTGTAGATGAAACATGCTCTAGAAATATACAGCAGGGTCTGCCTTTTCCATGAGTGACCACCCCTTTGACTTCTACCCTGAACGTTTCTAGTCTGATGTGTTAACGCCCATGCTCCTCGGGTTTTCTTTTTCTTTCAATTACACAGAACTTTAGGGGTCAGTGTTTTACTGTTCATGCCCAAGGGTCTTCTGAGGCTGACCACCGGACGTTGTTTCTCGTGTCCTAAGACCATGCAGGAGCACAGGTTGTGTGCAGTGAGGTCATGCTGTTCCTTCCTTCCTCTGCTCTCTCTCTCTCCCTGTTCCTGACTTCTGCAGATGTTGATGAATGCTCGGAAAACAGATGTCACCCTGCAGCTGCCTGCTACAACACCCCTGGTTCCTTCTCCTGCCATTGTCAACCTGGATACCGGGGAGACGGATTGCAGTGCACACCTGGTAAGGGTAGAAGGGTCAGGTGACCTTGGTAAGGGTGGTGTATCTCACAGATTCTCCAGTGGTATTTTTCTATGACACTCGCCCATTCTTGATCCGGTCTAAGGCCTTGGTGGATTTTTCAGGCTCTGTATTTCTTCCTCAGTTACCTCCTGCTGCCTTGTTTACTGAAAGTTCACTGTTCTTAACCTTCTTGGAGGCCTGAATGACCCATCCATCCTTCTACCTAGTAGCAGTTCTAGTAACTACCCAAGTGATCTGCTTTGCCTTGATGAGTGTGATTTGGATGAAGTCTTAAGGCAAAGTTTACCAAACAGGAGCCATATGCACTAGTGAGACAGGACTTAGTGCCCATGGTGACTGCTTTAGGGGGACTTGGTCAGCTGATGCCTACTAGTGTCTGCTTTGACCTGGAGCTTCTCAGACTTAAATTGTGGGCCTCTGGGGGTGAGTGGGCTTTGGCTTGTTTTCTCTAGAGTCTCTTGGGCTGTTTGAATCGATGCCATGGGCTGCTTTTCATTTTAACCAGACAGCAGCAGGCCCCTGAGGGCTGATGGAGGGACTGGGCAGCTTTACATTTAGGGTCAGCCAGGGCCTTAATGGGTGAACTGGGAAAATTGGGGAGAAACTAGGTAGACAGTGGCAGAGCTAAAATAAGCTGACTTCAAATCAATCTGATAATCAAATAGGACAATATTGGCCTATTTGGGGGCTGGCTGGGCATGATGGCTCACACCTGTAATCCCGGTACTTTGGGAGGCTGAGGTAGGAGGATTGCTTGAGACCTGCCTGGCAACATAGGCAGACCTCATCTCTACAAAAGAAAAAGAAAAATCAAATGTACAGCTACTCAGGAGGCTGAGGTGGGAAAATTACCTGAGCCAAGATTATCCACTGTACTCCAGCCTGGTAGCCTGGGCTGTCCCTGTACCCTGAGACTCTGACTCAAAAAAAAAATGGCCAGGCTCGGTGGCTCAGCCTGTAATCCCAGCACTTTGGGAGGCTAAGGTGAGTGGATTGCCTGAGCCCACGCGTTCAAGACACCCCCCCCAGGCAACTTGGCTAGACCTCTTCTCTATAATAAATCAAAAAAACTAGCCAGGCATGGTAGCGTGTGCCTGTAATTCCAGTTACTTGGGAGGCTGAGGCGGAAGGATCACCAGAGCCCAGCAGGTCGAGGCTGCAGTGGCCAGGAGCGTGTCACTGCACTCCAGTCTGGGCGGTGGAGTGAGACTCCAACTCAAAATAATAATAATAATAATACAAACATATCTGGGGCTCCAAAAATCCCAATGCCTTGCTATTTCTCCCATGCCATGCTGTTGCATAATGAAAGTGTATGGGTTGTAGTGCATCTCATTTCTCCTTTGTGTCTCCCTGTTCCCTGGTCCTGGAAGACTCCTCCTCAGGCCACACACCCTGTGAACACCAGCAGCGCCATGCCCAGGCACAGCAGCCCTACCCTGGGCTCCACATCCCTCAGTGCGATGAGCAGGGCAACTTCCTGCCCCTGCAGTGTCATGGCAGCACTGGCTTCTGCTGGTGCGTGGACCATGATGGTCATGAAGTCCCTGGTACCCGGACTCCGCCCGGATCCACCCCGCCTCACTGTAGACCACCACCAGGTGAGCCAACCGGGAAAGAAACCTCATACCAGCCTAGGCCTGGGGTTCAAGAAGCTGAATGGTACTGATGGCAGGTAGATCATAACCCCTATGCAGATAATGCAGTCACCATCCTTTCATAGCTTCTTCCCTTCCAGAAATGCTTGAGTAATAACTGTATGTTTATATACATGCATGTGTTATAGGGACATAGAGATATGCACATAACATATGTGACCTCTAATACACATTGGACTCTAGCCTGGTAGACCCTTGTTCGGTACAAGATCGACAGTTGAGATTGAGCATGTAGGTCAGGCTGAGGCTGCTATCCTAGAGCTGTGATGGCAACTGAGAGACATCTGAGAGCTTAGAGGACTGGCCAGACCTGCATTTATCCAGAAGGAAAACTGCCTTCCTACGTGGCTATCTCACTTACCCTGCCTTCTGAATTCTAGGAAACAGTCTGGCACCTGCATTAATATCCAGAGGAAAAATAAGTAGGTGGCTTCAGCTAGTGTTCTCCAACCCAGAGACCCCAGCCCTCTCTACCCTATCCCAACCTGTTGATGGGGAAATCACTCTTGCCTCAGCCACCCTTGGGAGAAACACAGGTGTCTGTCTTTTGTTAGCTCATACGAGACTAAAATAGGGACATGTTCCTTTGTGAAACCTTTCTCATGTCTAGACTCCTCTCTTGGTGCTGGCTGGGCCGTGGCTGCCATTTCTGTCTAGTCTCATCTGCATAATTGGGGTCAGTGGAGGTGCTAATGACGAGCATGTCTGCAGCCACCTGAGAATTCCCGGATGGGGTATGGTGACTAAGTGTTCACGGTCGATGCCAACAGCAGCTGGCCAGGCAACTTTCTGTTTCTTGTTGAATTGTTCAAAGATGGGTAGAACTTTTAAAATTATTATTGCAGAAGAATTTTAGTATGAATAACAGGATTGGCTTGACACCGTCTTAGCTAAAACGTTTTCTATGTCTAGGAGCTTGCTATCCAAAGATCTATTTTTACTATTGAGAAGGGGTCTATAAATACTAGCCTTGGCTTTTAATGTGTGAAAGTAAGAAGAATGAGAGAATTATTGATACTTTTGCTTCTTTCAATAATCTTAATTGTTATGGCCAGGAGTTTAGTGGTTCTAAAACTGTATAGGTAAAAATTGGTAATGGCTCAATCCACAGTGACGCTTAGTCCCTCTTTGTCTCTGGTTTTAGGAAAAGATTTTGCAGGTTCAAAAAAAGTGTATAGAGAAATCCTCTTTCGCTCATGCTTTCTCTTTGAAAAGGTTTGGTGCTAATTCCAGCTGGGATTTGAAGAACTCAGATAGTTGTGTGGGCGCCTTAGGGGAGTGATTCAGAATTCTGTTCAATTTATTAAGACAAGCCATGTGCTAAGGACAGTGATTCAAAGAAGAGCCAAGAGCCTGAGAAGTGAATGACTGAAACAGGGACACGTTCCTTTATAAAGCCTTTCTCATGTCCAGACTCTTCTCTTGGTGCTGGCTGGGCCGTGGCTGCCATTTCTGACTAGTCTTATCTGCATAATGTGGTCAGCTTGAGTGGGGTGAGGACACCCAGTGCCCAAGATTTCAAAACCTTTAAACCCCTGCCAACCAGAAACAGAAGGGAAAATATGCATGGTCGGACTGAGAAATAGCTGCCAATAGTAAGTAATGAAAGGCTTGCCCATGAACGAGGGTCAAGACACTCATTTCCTAGGTGTTGACTGTGCTTGGTGTCTGCATTCCAAACAAAGAACTGTGCCTTGCTGGGTGGTCCTTTGAACCAAAAATGGGTCCTCTGAGTTCAAAATGTAAAGCAGGGGTAGCACTGGGGACTTCTTCAGAGAATCCCAGAGTGTTTGAGGAAGTAGCATTTTCCTCATTGGGTCCCTTGAGACACATTTGGGTAAGGAAGTCAGAGTCCTACCTTCTCCATGAACTCTTATTTTTATTTTTTTATTTTTTGAGTTGGAGTCTCCCTCTGTCAGCCAGGCTAGAGTGGAGTGGCACGCTCACAGCCACCACAGCCTTGACCTGCTGGGCCCAGGTGATCCTTTTGCTTCAGTCTTCCAAGTAGCTGGAACTACAGGCACGCACCACCACGCCCGGCTGATTTTTTTTTTTTTTTTTTTTAATTTATTGTAGGGATGAGATCTTGCCATGTTGCCCAGGCTGGTCTCAAACCCATGGGCTCAGGCAATCCTCTCACCTCTGCCTCCTGAAGTGCCAGGATGACAGGTGTGGGCCACCACACCCAGCTCCAGAAACTCTTAAATAAAAGAGTTTTGCATACCATAGGTCATGAGCTATTGAGGCAGCTGAAGGGCAGACACTTCCCCCAACCCTGGCATGTATAACAGTTGAGCACTTTGGGTTGGAACTCTGGCTCCGTTATTCAGTCTCCCTGATTTCCCAGAGGAATTGTAGGTGATGGAGTCCAGTCATAATGTTTACAACTTTGTTTTTTGAAGTCACTGGAGGGTTTTGAGCAAAGGAGTGATGCAAAATGCCTTTGTGTTGTATTTATTTATTTATTGTTATTTATTTATTTGATTCAGTATCTCACTTTGTCACCCAGGCTGGAGTGCAGTGGCACACTCACGGCCACCACAGCCTTGGCCTGCTGGACTCTGGCAATTCTTCCACCTCAGCCTTCCAAGTCGCTGGAACTACAGGCATGTGCCACCATGCCTGACTAGTATTTTTGATTTATTGTAGAGATGAGGTCTCACCACGTTACCCAGGCTGCTCTTGAACCCCTGGGCTCCCAAAGTCCTGGGATGATAGGCATTGAGCCATCACTCACTCCCGGCCCCTTTGTGTTTTAAATGGACCCCTCTGGCTGGTAGTTGAGTTTACACTGGTGTTGGGGAAGGGAAGACAGAGGAGCCTGGAAGATGGAAAACCAGTGAGAAGGCTACTCCAGAAATCCCAGTAGGATAGTGGGGGCTTTGGCCAGGATGATGGGGTGGAGGTGGTGAGAAGTGAAGATATTCTGAGTGGCTTCTGAAGGTGGAGCTGACAAGATGTTTTGACATATCAGATGTGGAGAAAGAAAGGACTCACTGGGTCTGAGAAGTGAGAAAATGGAGGTGTTATTTACTGACATGGAAAGCATGAAAGAGGAGCAGGTGTGATGGGGACAGCAGAGTCCTTGTTTTTTAGTGTTGAGATTTCTGTTATACATCCAAGTGATGGTAACAAGTAGGTAGGTACTTGGCTGTGAGATTCTGCAGACTTTGAGGCTGTGAGTGGCAGGAATTTAAAAGGAAGGAGCACTTCCTTTTACTGACATTCCTTTAGGTTTGCCTATCAGAAATGAGCAAATTATTTCAGTAACTTTCAGCAGACCCTTTTCAGACAGAGAACCACCCATGTTTGGGGCAGAGCCCAGTTAGTGCTGTGGAAACAGCTTGGAAGGAAATGACTCCACCACAGAAGCCAGCAGGACTTTAAGCATGGAGTGAGCTGTGATGGGAAGGGGACAGGTGGGGAAGACGCTGGAGAAAGAAGAGGGGACAGAGCAGCATGACAGGAATCTAGAGCCTGCAGAAAGAGGCTTGGCTTTGAGATAATCCCAGCAGCAGGATGGCTAAAGAACTTATAGAAACTGGGCTAGATCCATTCAGTTTTACTTTGACTTAATATCGTTTTTCAGTGGACACTGAGGGCCATGTGGCATAGTTGGGCTTTTAGTAATACTCTCTAAGTCCCACACTGGCTGGTCTTAAGTTGGCCCTCTCAGCAGCAGGTCCTGGAACTTTGCAGCAAGTAGGAAAGCATTAAAATTGACTTTGAGCCTCACCCAGGCCACTGGGTCCATAGAGAACATCTACACAAGGGCTCCATCAGCAGGGGTGCCGTGGACACAGGCAGGAGGCCAGTGTGGGTCTCCCTGGCCTAAGGGCGTCAGCGCCCTTTCCAGGCTGACTGAACCCTGCGCCGCTCATCTGATCTCCTTTTGTTCTTTCCTGACTGGGCCTTCAGACCCTCCTGGCCTGGGGAGACAGGAACATCAAGATGATCTCTTCTCCTGATTCCCACAGAGAACTTCTTAGGGCACCTGTGCTTCCCAGGTCCAGTATCCAGGGGCTCGGCTGAGACCTCGTTTCTGGAAAAGGAAGGCCGGGAGGCCAGGCATGAGGATCTCACATTTCATTCTGCCTCTGTCCTTGGCTCACCATCAAAGGCCTTTACTCCTCTGTCTACTCAGAGCCCACTCAGCGGCCCCAGACCGTCTGTGAACGCTGGAGGGAAAGCCTGCTGGAACACTATGGCGGCACACCCCGGGACGACCAGTACGTGCCCCAGTGTGATGACCTGGGCCACTTCATCCCCCTGCAGTGCCATGGGAAGAGTGACTTCTGCTGGTGTGTGGACAGAGATGGCAGAGAGCTGCAGGGCACGCGCTCCCAGCAGGGCACCACCCCTGCGTGTAAGCATTCACCCCTGTGTGTAAGCACCCAGGACAGCCCTCCCTCACCTCAGCCGTGACCAAGGTCTTCCTGTAGGCAGGCTGCCAGCTGTGGGTGATGGTAGGGAAAGGAGGTGTCACCAGGTCTGATGAAAGGAGCTACTCTCTGCCTTGTTGATCCATAATCCACGCAAGATCCCAATTTGGATTTGGCGTTTGGTTTTTGTCATTAGCAGTTTCTGTAATTGGAACATCTGGAACTTAGTTCAACAAGCGATTATTCCTCCTCCTCCCCAGCCCAGGGTGAAAGGGGACACATGTCACCCTGGGCCCCCGGAAGAGAAGCTGACACAATACTAGCTCTGTTTTTTTCCCCCTTGAAACAAAACAACAAAAAAGTGTTCAGCTGTGTTCTGAGGGAAGTATTTTGTTGTCTTCCTCCCTAGTAATTGGCAGATTTGCATAATGGGTCCTTGGGAAAAAAACCTAGAAATTAGAAGTTCTTTTGAAGACCATCTGGAGCACATCTGTCCAGGGTGAAGAACTTTTGATGTTTTTGGAGACTCCAGTATGTGGGAGAGTAACTTTTCTTCCCTTCTACCCACCTTCCCTGGTTCCCTTTCCCACCCACAGGTATACCCACAGTGGCTCCACCCACGGTCCGGCCCACACCCCGGCCTGATGTGACCCCTCCATCCATGGGCACCTTCCTGCTCTATGCCCAGGGCCAGCAGATCGGACACTTGCCCCTCAACGGCACCAGGCTGCAGAAGGACACAGCCAAGACCTTGCTATCCCTTCATGTAAAGTGGATTTCTCCTGTGGGGGGTGAGGGTAGGGGAGTAGAGTGGGTTGTTTGGAGGTGGGGCTAGGCACAGGGGGTGGCTAGGCTCAGCTTTCAGAAGACCCAGGAGTGTCCAGGAAGGTTTCCGGGCTACAGTCCAACTTCATGGGCCTGGTGCCACCACTGCGGAAGTGGGGCTGTCTGTCCCTGGGAATCACATGTGAGTGACCAAGGCTCTCCTCTGGTTGCTTAGTGAAGTCAGATGTATGGACAGGGAATTTCATGTTGCTGTATTCTCTTTGTAACAACCACGTGAAATAGGCTCTGATGTTAACCTCGTTTTGCAACTGAAACCGGCATAAAGATGTGAAGCACCCAAAGTCACACAGCAAGACAGGATAGGGAGGCTGGATAGTGATCTACAGGAAAACTGACCCTCTTAGCCCAAGGCCCCAGAGTTCTTTCTGTCCATGTCACAGCCATCTCCAGGGATATCCTGGCATCCAAGAAACAGGAGGACTAGCTGCAAAGTGTGGCTTCTGCGATCAGTCGAGAACTCCAAGTGGAAATCAGTTACTGGCTACCTCCCTGTTACAGCTTCCTCGCCCCATCCTGTTTCTGTCACTTGGGCTTGCTTCTTTCCTAACCTTCTTGGACTCTTTCATAGATGAATGCTTGGAGAGGATGTGTGCCTGGAAGAGGAGTGGATGGAGCTTTCCCGAGGGGATACTTGCTGCTTCCCGAGCCAGCAGTCTCCATACTGCCAAGGCACTCTATTTTGGAGAGAGATTTCTTTTCTAAGATGAGGAAAAGTGGGGAGGGGGACTCTCTAAAAAGGCATTGACACAGTGGAAAATCCTTTGGTTCCATTTTGTTTTGTTTTTGAGTCAAGCTCCCATTCTGTCACCTGGGCTGGAGTGCAGTGGCATACTCACAGTTCACCACAGCCTCAAACTTCCGGGCTCAAGCGATCCTCCACCTTCAGTCTCTTAAGTAGTTGGGACTACAGGCTTATGCCACCACACCCAGTTAATTTTTTGGAATTTTTGTAGAGATGGGGTCTCACTATGTTGCCCAGGCTGGTCTCAGATTCCTAGGCTCAAACAATCTTCCTGCCACAGCCTCTCAAAGTTGCTGGGATTACAGGCACGAGCCACCTGCACCCACCTGACTCCGTTTTTAAACTTTGCCTCCAGGTACATGTTCACCCATGAGAAAGACTGGTACAGTGTTCGTGTTTACATTTACTTCTGTTAATGAACTAACTCCCTGTCTGGTTCCAGAAAAACTGAGCTGAAGCCAGTATTCAGAACGAGATGCATTTTTTTCTTCCTTTTTAAGATTCAAATTTGTTGTCCACCCCCTGCCACAGACAAACCGTAACTGCTGTTTTGTGAATGTTGCTCTTAAAGGAGGTAGAAACTAAGAAGTTGCCATCACCCCAAACTAACTGTCTCTTAGTCTAGCCACATCTGGGAGCTTGACTGCATTTCAGAACATGCCCCTGATGGGACCAGCATGGTGGTGGTGGTGGTGGTGGAAGAGAAATAGAACATGAGTTCTCACCGGGACTTTTTTCTCAAGAAACTTTGAAGTCATGACATGGGCTTATGAATCCCTTAATTTTCTGGGTTAATAAGAGATCACATGAATGTGTACTCTTGCCTGGGACAGGCGACTTTTTAATTTTAATTTTCAAGTAAAAATGCAGTTGATCTTATGAACTGCCTGTTTTTCCACAGGAGCCAAATCCTGTTTCATCCAGGCTTTCTTGTGCTGACAGCTTTCCCCAGGCATAAATCAAGCCGAGCCCCAGGAGGCTTTGTTGGGCAAGGTGGGAACTGGTGTGACCTGGGGACAGCCAGATGGCCCCAGGATGTCGACTTTGCACATGTGCAGGGTTTCTCAGAGCGGAGTCTGGATTGGGATTTGAATGAAGCAAGTACTGCCTGGAGTTGAAGAACTATCAACTAGTCTGTTGAACTGTCACAGACTCAGCATTTTAAGAAAAGACTGCCATTTATTTGGCAATAAGGAAGGATGGGAGACCTCGCTAGCTAGAGCTTAGATGACCTTTTCCAGTTCCTAAGCCCATCAAATTACAGACTTTCTTTTAGACAGAACACAACCAAAGACTTGAGGAAGCAAGACTAGGAGTCAGGGCAGGAGAATAGGTGATTGCATCATAGTTTGGGGAAAGAGTTCATCTTTTTCACAGAGGAGGGAAGAGTAGATTTGTTGGCATATGTTGACGGATTTTGGAAAGGCTCTTTGAAAAAGTGATGATAACACTTGGAAGGATTCCATTTTTGACCAGTAAAATACAAAGCACTTACTTTACCAGGACCTCTAATCACTGAAGGGGCTGATGTATTTTATGAAATCACTTTGTTCTTACCATCAACTGTAATTGAAGAACTCACTCTATACTAATTACTAATTAGGATGCTTCACAGGCATTTATGGTACTAAGGTTTATAGTGACCACATGAAGTAGGTCCTACTATTAGCTTCATTTTGCAAATGAGGAGACCAAGGCATAGAGAGGTTAAGTCCCCAAAGTCACACAGCTGGTAAGTGGCCAAGCCTGGGTTTGATCCCAGGGAGTGTCCAGCTACTTTGTTGCCAACAAGACCACAGGGTTGAGTTATTCACAGCAGCCGAGCATGAGCAGGGCTCTGAGTGTGAACTCGGGGGACATGTAAAGAATCCTAATTCTTAGGCCGGGCACTCACAACAGTGGCTCACAACTGTAATCCCAGTACTTTGGGAGGCAGAGGCAAAAGGATTGCCTGAGTTCTCAGGTGATCGAGATCAGCCTGGGCACCTTGGTGAGACCTTGTCTCTACGGTAAATCAAAAAATTAGCCAGGCATGGTGGCGCATGCCTGTAGTTTCAGCTACTTGGCAGGCTGAGGCAGAAGGATTGCCTAAGTCCAGCAGGTCGAGGCTGGAGTGGCTGTGAGCATTCCACTGAACTCCAGCCTGGGTGACAGAGTGAGACTCTGACTCAAAATAAAAAATAAAAAAAGAATCCTAATTCTTCCACTTCTGTGATTTGGTGCATGAAGGGTTCCATAGTCGTGGGAATTGATTATGACTGCCGGGAGCGGATGGTGTACTGGACAGACGTTGCTGGGCGGACGATCAGTCGTGCCAGTCTGGAACTGGGATCAGAGCCTGAGACAATCGTTTCCTCAGGTAAGCAGCTTCACTCAGGCTCTGTGCATTTCCTGTGACTCTACTAGGTCACCTGCCTCTGTTACGCTCAAGTCTCCCTCAGTGCTCCTCCTGTGAGGGAAGGCAAAGTTCTAGGTAAGTCACTTTCTTGAGCTTTCAAGACTGGCCTCTCTGTAAACAGTCACATCCACGCACAAGGGATGAAAAGGCAATTCTCACTGTGAGCAGGAATTCAGGGTGTGGCCGTAGCTTATTCCACCTAGTCCCAGCACTGTTGATGCTGGTGCCCTCACCCACAGTTCTGCTAGTTTAGAGGTGGCAAAATATGTAACAAAAGGACCTGCTTCTCCCTTAACCTGGGTCTTGGAACTTAGCGATTCTTGGGACATTTTTTTTGAATTGGAGTCTCACTGTTGCCCAGGCTGGAGTACAGTGGCACGCTGCTCATGGCCACCACAGCCTTGGCCTGCTGGACTCAGGCGATCCTTCCACCTCATTCATCCTTCCAAGTAGCTGGAACCACAGGCATGCGCCACCACACCCGACTAATTTTTCTTTTTTTGATTTATTGTAGAGATGAGGTCTCACCATGTTGCCCAGGCTGATCTCAAACCCATGGGCTCAGGCAGTCCTCTTGCCTCCACCTCCCAAAGTGTTGAGATTACAGGCATGAGCCACCACGCCTGACATTTTTTTTTTAAACTGTTCAAACGTAGCAGATTGCTGTGCTTCAGGGAGCCCTTTGTAACCTGCAAACGCTGAGTCCTGCCTTTGCTTTATTTCCAGGTCTGATAAGCCCCGAAGGACTTGCCATCGACTACTTCCGTCGAACGATGTACTGGACGGACAGTGGCCTGGACAGGATAGAGAGGGCCCGGCTGGATGGCTCAGAGCGCAAGGTCCTCTTCCACACGGATCTGGTGAATCCCCGTGCCATTGCTGTGGATCCAATCCGCGGGTCAGCTGGGCTTCCCTGATTCTCCTTAGGTCCTGATTTGAAGCACTTGAATTTTATTTTATTTTTTTGTTAAATATCCAGTAATTTGTTCTTATTACACTAGATTGGAGGTTCCAAAAGAGTGGTAATTTTGACTTTTTTGTTTATTTTAAAGATGTGGGGTACAATTCAGGATTAGATATACAAATAGTCATTGTACAGGTAAAGTTTGGGCCTGACTTTGGTCCCGGGATCACTTCACGTGGTTTGAGATCAGGTACCCTTATTAATGAAGTGTGCCCCCCTCAGCACTTGAATTTTAATATAGTGTGGGGAAATATTAGAACAAAAGAGTAGAGGCTCAAATGCGTTAACTTAAAGATTTATTGAGGATCTGCTAGGTGTCAGGCACTGTTCCAGGCAAAGAACAGTATGTTCTTTCATGAAGCTTAACGTTCTGTGAGGAGCAAATAAGACAGTGGACAGATGGGAGAAATATTAGACTATGATGTGAGAGAGAATTCAGATAGACTAGCGGGGGGGTGGCATGCTACTTTGGGTCACATGACCAGGCAGGGCCCAAGGAGATGGCACTTAACCTGGAGGTAAAGTGGGTCTCTGTGAGCAACGTGTTTAGAAAGTGTCATCATAAAGCCATAGTCGAGTTTACCTCCACTAAATGGTGAGAGTGACTGAAGCTGAGACATGGGGTATTTTATTTCTCTGGCTTCATTTTTATTGTAGACGTCATCACACACACAGAAAATAAAAATTTTCCCCACCTGAGGTTATTGCTAAGGTCATCAAATGGAACGTATAGGACTTGGTCAATGTGTCGGTACTTGTTAGAACCAAGGAGACTTTTTTATGACCAGACACAATGGCTCATGCATGTAATCTCAGCATTTTGAGAAGCTGAGGTGAGAGGATTGCTTGAGCTCAAAAGTTCAAAACCAGTGTGGGCAACATAGCGAGACCTCATCTCTACAAAAAAATATTAAAAATATTAGCCAGGCATACTAGCACATGCATGCAGTTACTTGGGAGGCTGAGGCAGAAGGTTCGCCTGAGCCCAGGAGGTTGAGGCTACAGTGAGCCGTGATCGTGCCACTGCACTCCAGTCTGGGTGACAGAGTAAGATCCCAATGGGCGGGGGGGGGAAGAACCAGAGAGAATTTTTATACCTTGAGACACCTTTGCCTTTTGCCACTTTTAAGTGGTACTTTTTCTAAACAAAACTCTAAAGAAATCCTTCAAATTAGTAAAGAAAACCTTCAGCTTTAATTTTCAACGAAGTGATTTTTGACTCTGACATACTTAGTGCAAAGCCTCTAAGGCAGTTCTGAACTTTGGGTTCTATTCATTGAGGAAGTCACCTCTTTTTCTATCCCGGTTGTCTTTGCTACAAGAATTAATAGACCCCTTAAAAGCCCCCTCTTTTCACAGGCTTGCTTTTCTGACATTTGGAAGATTTGTTATTCCTTCTTGATGCTTGACCTGAAATTAGGCAAGTAGCGTCTCCATAGTCTGGGGAGGAGACATGCCTTTAAGCTGAAAATCCACATGACAGCCATGAGTTTAAAGATGAAAGTGGAACTTTCTTATCAAGACAAAATAATAAGTGCTAAAGACTTTAAACATAATTTTTAATGACAACAGGCAAGTTTGAATCTAACACATGTGATGAAATCTCCCTCGACAGCTTAGTGGAATAGTTGTTAAGCCTTCATGGGTATTCCTCATTCACTCTCTATAGATTTTACCCTAGAACTTTCTTCCTTAAGCAGTCTACAAACAGCTTATGCCAAGGGCTGTATGTCTGCGTGAGCGTGTTCTGGACTTACCATTTTCCATGACCGAAATCATTGTGGGGAAGGAAACGGATCATAAATGATGAGGCAGCAGTAGGCATGCTCTCCCCTCTGGTCTCCTCTACCTCAGCACAAAGTGGACACTTCTGGGCTCTTGCTCTGGGCTTTCCTCTGCTTCATCTGTTGGGCACCAGGAAAGGAGTTCACAGCAGGGGAAACCTAAGGCTTCTGCCTCTCCCTCCTCATTGAACTTCTCTGTTGCTCGACTGATTCATTCACAGCTTCTATAAAGTGGTATTTTATAAAAAGTGCTTTCATCTTTACCTTTGCTCCAACCCTAAACCTGTTTGTCTCCTTAAATATAACTTAGTTACAGTTAACGAACCCATGTTAGTGTGTAGTTCTCTGTTAAATGAATATCTTTCGTTTTTAACAAGGTATTTGAAAGGCAAAATCCGCCTCACAAAGTATTTCCCTCCCTGGGTGCCAGGTATAGGACAACTGAGATTCCCCTTCAAGTGCCAAACAGTTTTTTTCCCTGGAAGAAGGAAGTAAGGAAAACAGTTTCCCTCTCAAATCCCAAGCCCAAGTCTCTACAAAGTTCCATGGTTCCTGTAGTTAAGCCAATTTTTTTTTTTTTTTGAGTTGAAGTCTTACTCTGTCTGTTGCCCAGGCTGGAGTACAGTGGCACAACCATGACCACCCCAGCTAAACCTGCTGAGCTCTGGCGATCCTTTTACCTCAGTCTTTCAAGAAGCCAGAACTACAAGCACATGCTACCATGCCCGGCTAGTTTTTTATTTTTATTGTAGAGACAAGGGCTCACCAAGTTGCCCCAGCTGGTCTCGAACCCACAGCTCAGGCAATCCACCTGCCTTAGCCTTCCAAAGTGCTGGGATTACAGTTTGAGCCACCAAGCCTGGCTGCAGTTAGGCCAATTTTTTTTTTTTTTTTAGTTGGAGTCTCACTCTGTCACCCAGACTGGAGTGCAG